CGCCCTTCTCCCGCGGCCTCCTGCCCTGCCTGCTGGTGAAGCTCCGCATGGCCCAGAACCTGCGCCACGCCGTCACCTTCGTGGAGCAGGGACACGTGCGCGTGGGGCCCGAGGTGGTGACCGACCCCGCGCTCCTCGTCCCCCGCGCCGTGGAGGACTTCATCACTTGGGTGGACGCCTCTCGCCTGCGGCAGAAGGTCCTCGACTACAACCAGGAGCGCGACGACTTCGACCTGGCCGCTTAGGGATGCGCTGCCCGGCCCTGGCCCCGCTCCGCTCTGCCCCTGGGGACACGCGTGGGGGTCAACGCGCACCGGTGGAACCGCCACCAGGTGTTTACCACCCCCAAACACACCTGAAAGGGGGGAACCTACGTGCTTCTGATACCGTATTGCTCTGCTCCTAGCTCCCTTCCATGGCCACCGGCCCTGCTCATCCTCGGCCACCGGCTCCGCTCATCCACATGGAGAAACATCCGCTTTCACATCCATCACGCTGAGAAAACAGCCCAACTCCCTCAGACTTACATCCCGTACAGCGAAAGCTCTTCGGAAGGGCTGGGCCTGATGGCAGGAGAGGATGCCGTCGGGTTTAAGTGCTTGGCCGCTAATAATAGCTGCTGGAAGGGGTTGGAAGCCTGGCCGAGCGGCCGGTTTAGGACTGAATTTGGCAGCTTTGCTGCTGCTTTTCTAAGAAGTGACCCTACCGGTTTCTCCTTCAGCTGATGGGTCCGCGGTAACCGGAGGAGCTGCTTCTGGAAGGTGTTTCTCATGATACCGAGCAACGTGTCCGTGGGGAAAACACAGGGGTTGTTTGGGGTCAGCAGTAAACAAGAAGGCCAAGTACTGCATTTCTGGAACTATAAAAGTTTTAGCCAAAAACGGAATTAAAAAGAAAAAAAAAAAGCCAGCTTTATTTTCATGTGAAGTTGTAAAGGGAAGTTTGATAGTCTGACTTCAGTATCTTTGCTGTGTGAGGGGTACCAGCTGGCAATTAGGCATCGTTTACAGAGCAGGGTCTAATTGGAGCGAAAGCTTTCCCAACCGTACCTGCAAATCTGGGGGGAACTTCTGCATTCAGCACATAAGCCGAATAAAAATGAGCGCCTGAGGGGACCCTCGGGCCTTCTGGGGCAGTTGGGAACTTTATTCCCCTTTGAAATAAAGAGCAGAAAAGCAAAAAGAAAACAGTTGCTGAAGTTTTAAGTTGCTGAAGAAATGTGTATGTTATGTTTCTCTGAGGTTTTCTTCTCATTTTTAAATACTCCAATAAGCCGTTTGTCATCTTGCAGAGCGTTTTTTTTACGCAACTTCTTTTATGTGACTTTTTTATGTAACTTTTTTTTTTTATAGCTTCAAGACTATTACTGAGTTATAAAATGTTTTTTGCTAGAAATGCTTTCTTTCCCTTTCCCAGGGCTACAAAAGGATTTGGCAGCAGGTTTAGGAGCAGAGCTGTGACTGCCTGTCCCCAGTCCAAAGGGCCGAAGTTCGGCTGCAGCCACCGCTCCGGGTCTGGACACTTTAGTGTGACTTTCTGAACAGGAAGGGTGTTTGGGGTGAGGAGTGCTTTGGGGTTATCGAATGACCAGAAAATGTCATGAAATATTGCAGCTGTTTTTTAAAAAGCAAACTAAATGTTAAAATTCCTACCAATCTTACAAGCCAAATGTGTTAAGCAGAGCATTAACTTTTAAAGCAATAATAGATATTAAGAAAAGGACACAAAAGAGGTGGGGAAAACCCTTTGCTTATCGACCTATTCCTGTTTATACTTGAATTTATTTCAGTAAAACATCACCTGTAACACCTTAAGAGCCTTTTTATCAGGGCATGCACCTTGCTTATGGTAAGAAATAAAAATCAAAAAGACGTTTTGCGTGCGAAGCGTGACTTTCCGTAAACACCTTTCCAGCTTTCATCGAGAACAATGTCATTATTTCTTGGGGAATTCAGAAGGTGCTTAATTCAGGTGCAGGTAAAAATAATACATTCACTCTGCTTTACCCTTTTGGGGCAATTTAAATAACAGCACAGTGATGTGCCCTGTGCAGGGCCTTTTACTACTTGGATGCTAAACTTCTGCTCTGCCCAGTTTGTCCAGCCCTCGAAGGAACCGCAGAAAAAGAAATATCGAACCTCCAACCTGTTTTAGCCTCTGTAGCTGACATCATCAGCCTGTTCTTTGTGTCCTAAACCAACTTTCCATCATTCATCTATGCACCTCCAGCATCTGTAGCAGAAGAGAAACACCTTAAAACCCTGTAGGCTTTTAAATTGCACTACGACAATGGTACCTAATTGATTTCCCTATGGATGCTGTGGGATAACAGACCCCATACCCCCTGCTCTCTTCCTGTGCTATTGGAAATCAAATCCTTATGTGCTTTTTAAGAAATGCAGCAGGTTGTGTCTTTGTATGTCTGTGTGTGTTTTAAGTCTGGAAGTCTGTGGCCCTGCTGGGTTGTACAGTAGCTCAGAGCTGACATGTGTGTCCTGCTCCTAAATTTTTAATAGCCGGAGTTCATGCATGCCTCGGAGGAGAGTGGGGTCCGCTTCAAGTGTGATAAACAGAGCGTTCTCCATCCGACAACAGACGTTATATCTGACAGCAGCACGCTGACGTCGTTGGTGGTCAATGTACTCAGGCAGATGATGGCTTCTTCCTCATGTTTAACGGTGGCTTTGCCTTTAGGTCGTGGGTTGGAGTTTGTTTGCCAGAGCTGACGTGCTGTGGCCGGGCGGTTCCCACAGCGGCTCCGGAGCCGGGGATTGAAAGGGCGCAGGAAGCGGCTCCGACAGCCTTTCCTGGCGCTTGGATAAACACGGAGGCTTTTTTTAAATTCCAAGGCTGGGTCCAACGTCAGTATAAATAGGCACCGGCTTCCACGGATCCATGTGAGCTGGCATGGGGAGGTGATCCGGCATTGTGTTTTTTTGGGCCAGATTCTGCAAACTCTCCAGCGCTTTGGGGGTTTGCAGTGGGAGAGCTTACGTACGTGAGAGCGGCAGGACAGGGTCGTGGGTGTCACCATGCTTCTTCCCAGCACCTTCTGAGGTGGGTTTGCTGTTCCTCAGGTGCCTCAGCATCTCTGTGAAGCTCATGGGACATTGCTGGTGGAGAAGGAGGAGGATGGTGCTGATGTCAGGGCGAGCTGTCCCGTATGCCTGACAAAACGTGATCTCTGCCACCTCTGTGAGCGTCTGTCCCAGCTGGGGGCTGGAGAGGTGCCACCTTCTTCAGTGAGGGAGGAAGGGACAGTGCAAGAGCCATCAGAGCAAACGGTGAGTGGTTCCTGTGCAGGAGCTCTCGCTTGGATAGTGAGCAGCAGTCAGGGAGGTTTTATCAGGGCCTATGGTTTGTTTTTTTATTTTATCTTTTTTTTTTTTTTCCCCTGACCTTGGCTTGTCCTTTATTTGAAGGCTGCCAAAGCGGGGGAGCTGTGCTTGGGGAACGTGGGGGAGCTGAAGGAAAGAGTCCTTCACACTGACGCTTTTTGTGTTGCAGGGTGTAAGTGGCTGAGGCTGTCACCAAAATGCAAATGTGTATTTTTCCACTGATTTGAGCTGCTTTTTTTTCCCAGTAAACAAGCATACTCCATGTTTTAAAGGTTGCTTCCATCCAACATCTTGGTGTGGCTTAGTGCGGAGGTGATGCTGACCTCAGTAATTCGGTGATAGCACATACCGCGAGCACAGACCGTACCCCGCGGGGCTGGGGAAGGATGGTACATCCCCCTTGTCAAGATGGGAAATGGAGACTGAGAGAAGCGAAGGTGCAGCTGGGCAATTCCCAGCTTTTTGGGTGATGCTCCTGCATCCTGGGTTAGGCCAGGGCCTCCCAGCCACATCTCAGGGCACACTCCCCCGTGAGATATTCCCCACTGGATGGAGGTGTCACTGTCCCCTTCTTGAGCTCCAAGTGCTCTGTTTTAAGTACATCCCCTGCCTGCTTTGGCACTGGAGGTTGAACCAAAGAGCCATTTCTCATCGACGGGTCATGGGATCGCTTCATAGTCCCTACCCCATATACCAGAACATTTCAACATTCATTGAGTCTGGGGGAAAAAGCACCCCTAAGCGTCGTGACAGCATTTACCCGAGAGCCCCAGTTCTGGTGCCTGCTCTTATATGCCCCGGTTTAGGCAGTGAAGCAACTCTTCTCACCCTTTGCTTGCTGGTTTGGGCCTGAAGTAGGACCTGGGTGGTGGAAAACCTGTCTGCCATGTGGCTGAGATGTGGGGATGTCAGGTGGAAGCAGTAGGCAGCAGCTTTGGAGTCAGCTGGAGGAGGCACTTGGGTTCAGTCTTCCCATCAACCGTGGAGCTTATGGATCCAAGGGCTAAATCCAAGTGTACCTCCCCCAGCAGGCATGTCCCCTCTCACTTCTCTGCAAGTGTGACTCCATGGCAGAAAGGTCCCTTCCCT